CCTGGCTCAGTGATTTTTATGAGTTCCCTAATACAAGAGAAAATTATTATAGAGATAGTAATGAGTTAGTATTATCATTCAACATAGAATTAAATGCTCTTAGAGTTTATTTACTATTTTATTTGTTCTTTTCAGTTATATATGACAGTAGAATGTATTTTGACATATTATACATACATGGAGTACAACTTCCTATTCTGTTGGTTATACATGATGTGGGATTACATTGGTTGTGTATTCATATATGAGCATAGGAAAGTAATGTCTGGGTGATTCTACTGTTTTTCCTAGTCCCATTCCCCCTCCTTCCCTTCCTTCCCATTTGTCTAATCCAAAGTGCTTCTTTTCTCCCCTAACCACCCGAATTGTGAGTTAGTATCTGCACATCAGAGAGAGAGAATTCGGCCTTTGTTTTTTGGGGATTGGCTTATTTCACTTAGCATGATAGTCTCCAGTTCCATCCATTTACCAGCAAGTGCCATAATTTCATATCTCTTTATGGCTGGAAATATTCCATTGGGTATATTTTAGAATATATTTTTAAAATCTTTGCTTGTGGTGGTTTTTCTGGAATTCACATTTAAAGCCTGAGGTTGGGTTAAAGGTTTACATTTAACAGAATAACCCTGAAATGATAGCTTTCTATACCAAGAAACATAAACTGTAGAAAAGTTGACACCTTGAAATGCTTGCATTAAAAATTTTTAAATTGCTACATTTTAAGAAATAAAACTTATACCTAATGAAGAAAATTGATGTTATTAGATATGGATATAAATTCCTAAAAAATTAGATTTGACTGTTACTTTGTTGCCATCAAAATTAAAATTTATTTTCTAAAATTAAAAGAGTTAATGTCTCATATAAAAGCAGATTTCTGAAATCTGCATTCTAAGTAAGAACATGCTATAATATTAATTTTCACTTTTTTTCTTCTTAAAAACTTCCTTAAGAAACTTTGTACACCAAATTTATCCTGACAAAAGTTAAAAAATAAAAAATAAACACCCAGAAAACCGTCTCCAAAAGTAGCCACATGAGCCTTTCATTCCACATTATTCTTGTGTAGGGAGTTTAGCGACCCTGGATCAAGCTGGCTCATAGCATTCCAGATGCTGCTGCCTTCCAACCTCAGGGCCACATTCTCATCCTGTCAATCATGGGGGCTGTCGTCGTGGAGACCAGAGCCACGATCTTGGCAGAGGTGGTTGAAATTGACTAGGGAGAAGCATATGAGATTTTTTTTTCCTTTCTGCTCCCCCAAATGCTTGCATAAATGCTTCTTTCCAGAAAGGACTGCTCTGTTCATGACTCGGATGCTGAAATCCTGGGTTCTAAAGCTGAAAGCGGCCACCTGCATGGGAGACCCCATTGGGGACAGGAAATTGTCAACAGTTTTGATGACAACTCTATCAAAAGTGGCAGTAAGAATGCAGTATCATTTATTCTACAATAAAAGTAGATGGAGACAAAAGGAACTGATTGGCTTGTTCATTTCTGCCTTATGATTCTCAGTCTCACCAATGCTGAGCCAGGGAGCATTTCCATAGAACATGGACTGCACTCATCTGTTGGTGCAGCCAGGAACATTTTTTGCCTAATACTTCTAATACTATTCATTGCTGAGCATTTTAGAAACTCATTGTTAACATTAAGAAACTTATTTCTCACTCCCATACATTTAGTAATATACATTTATATTATGGGCATGAGGCAGATAACTAAGAAAATAAAAATGATTAGATCGGGGAAAATGTTTAGATTTGCCCTTAAGATGCTAAATGGCTTCTTCCAACATGGGATTTCACTATTCAAATTCTGCAATTTCCCAAATAGCACATGATATAAAATTCGTTGGTTATGGCGACTGGAGGGTGTCAGCACAGGTGGAGACCCTGATCAGTCAGCGGGTTCTGGGAGAAGGACGCAGGCTGGGCCTGTGGGGACGGGCCCTGAGTGGAGATGGAGGACCTGCCTTGGCCTTCCTGGGACATCCTGAGATGGACTCCGCCGTAGATCTACACGCTCCTCCAGAGGGTCGGCAGGTGCCCCTAACAGGACAGCTACACAACCTTATCTTGACTTTTCATCTCATAAGATAATCATCAAGTAGAGACCAGACTCAGTCTTGGTCGAAAACACGTGTTTTTGACCAAGGAGTGGTTGAGCCCATCTCTATTTTAAAAGTGTCTCAGGGCCACCTAGAACTAGTGGTTGACTTTCTGTCCCATAAACTTTCCCAGAAAGGATACAGCTGGTGTCAGTTAAGCCATGTGGAAGGGAACAGCATTGAAGCCCCAGAAGGGACTGAATCAGAGGTGGAACCCACCAGTGCCATCAATGACAACCCATCCTGGCGTCTGCTGGGCAGCCCCATGGTGAGTAGAGCCACTGGCCATCACAGGAGTTTGGATGCCCCGGAGGTGACTGAAGCAAGCACTGAGGGAGGCAGGCGACAAGTCTGAACTGCAGCAGGTACCTGCAGGCATTCAGTGACATGACGTCCAAGCTCCACGTCACCCCAGAGACAGCACATCAGACATTTGAACAGGTAGTGAAGGAACTCTTCCAGGATGTGGTCAACTGGGGCTGCATTGTGGCCTTTTGCTCCTTTGGAGGAACCCTGTGTGTGGAAGGCATAGACAAGGAGAAGCAGGTATTGGTGAGTCAGATCGCAAGTTGGGTGGCCACTTACCTGAATGATCACCTAGAGAACAGGATCCAGGACAGCGGCAGCTGGGACACTTTTGTGGAACTCCGTGGGAATAATGTGGCAGTGAGTAGCTGGAAGGACCAGGAAGGCTCCAACCATTGTTTCCTGATGGGCATGACTATGGCTGGTGTGGTTCTGCTGGGCTGGCTGTTCAGTCAGAAATGAGCAGACTCTGACCACCCACTCACCCTCCCTCCCACCCCGCCCCACCACATCCCTCTGTCCATTGCCACCAGGAGAACCATTCATGACCTGCAGCCACGCCCACCATCCATCACTGGCTTGGGCCTAGACCTGGTTCCCTGCAGTTAGTTTTCTAGAACTACTGTGCTTCTGTGACAGCCACCTTCCCACACACCTCAGTTCTCTTGCCATCAGAGTCTTCAAAATCTCCCCCAAATCTGTCTCTTGAAGGCTGGCAGGGTGTAGGGGTGGCTGGGGGAAGGAGGGCCCTACCCCATTGGCAGATCCTTACTGCCCCTTAGTCTCTAAGACTGCTTTCCTGGTAAGGAGCTAGAAAGGTTTTTGAACCTCTTCCCCAGAAAAAGACTAGATGGCCTTTGTTGGGATGTTTGTAGCCTCAGAGTTGATCATCATTTCCCATCCCTCTCTGGACCTGGGCCCCTATCCCTTCTATCTCTACCCCCAAGAACCATTTAAAGGACATTTTTGACTAATTAGGAATTCAGATCTGCTTGTGGTAAAGAAGCAAGGATCAGGACTTCCTCCCCAACACTGGCCTGGACAAAGTCCTCACTCCTAGGGTGAATGTTTTCCAGAGGCCTCTGGCTAGAGGCTAGTCCCACCTTGGGGAGGGGACATGGCTGCAGGAAGTACCCCATGCAAAAGCTAGCATGGCCCTTGCAGATTAGCACCACCCTAGTCCCTTCCCCTCCTTTCTCCTGGCTCCCAGGACCATGACGGAGTGACCACCTGGGCCCAAGACAGCTGCCCCAGAGCTATTTATGGCCCTCAGCTGCCTCACTTCCTGCAAGGTCATCCTGTGGCTTCATTGTGTTGGGCTGTTGCCCATCAGGTGCAGGGATTCAGGGATCTCAGCCCAGAGTTAAAAGGGGAGATATAGGGATTAGCAGTAGGAGCCCTGGGGTCTTCCCTACCTCAGGAAGGAGACCTCGGTGCACAGGCCAGTGGGTGGGGGCTGACTGGAGGGGGGCCTGTCTCTCCTGATCAGGTAGATATTTCCCCACTGTCCAGCCTGGGCACCAGGGCTGCCAAGGTCAAAATGGCCTGGCCAAGACCCCTTCAGGCCTCCCTCTGCTCCAGCCTCGACTGTCTCATCCCTGGGGGTCTCAGCACAGCCCTGGCCGCTCCAGGCTCTCTGCTGTCCATGTTCCAGAGCAGCTCTCATTCCTTGTGAAGATGATGTTCTGTCTTTTTAGGCATGTGTGTACTCATGTGTGAGGAGCTGCTGACTCGCTGTGAGCGTGCAGGTGGAGGGCTGGCGGCCTAAGGCTCCTTCCCCTGTCCCAGGGCTCTTGGCTTCTGAGGGCTCCTGTTCCCCCTCCCTCACCGACTTGTTGCAGCTCTTTAAAACAGACTATGTGAAAGTGAAAGTGCAGTTCAGGAGTAAACTGTGTTGGCTCAGGGGGAAGAAAACGTTGATATTAGGAGCTGAGGTGTGGCTCATTGGTAGTTTACTACCCAACATGCATGCAGCCCTGGGTCCAATCCCAAACACAAACATTGTAAACTGGTAATAAACTATCATGACTGTGGCTCTGCCACAACTCAGAAAGTCTAACTCTAGACTGGAGAATCCTCCAGAGCCTTGCTGTAGGGGACACGGGTGTCTCAGCAACTAGGATGGCCACCCAGACCAATTTACAATCTCTGGGATACCACCTGGACATCAGTGGTAGTTTTACAAATTCCCCAGGTGATTCCAATGTGCAGTCATATTTGAGTTGACACCCTGCGTGAATTTCTCTTGCGTTCTCATGCTTTACTTCATAGAAGGAAACATGTACAGAAATAACTGTATGTGTCCCATCCACAGTATATTTAACTGCATTACACATATGTGTATGAAGTGAAGAAAGAACAGAGATATTTGCTTATGTAAACACTGGTTTATATTTTTCTCCTCTATAATTAGTATAGTCTACTCTTGGAAATGACATATCTTGGGCTGGGGTTGTAGCTCAGGGTAAAAGTGCTTGCCTAGCATGTGTGAGGCACTGGGTTAGATCCTCAGCACCACATAAAGATAAATGAATAAATAAAGGTATTGTATCCATCTACAACTAAAAAAAAGTTTTAAAAAAAGAAATTAGGCATTTTGACAGATATAAAAATTTGTCACCAAGTTTCCTGTTTCTCCTCATTTTAGAATGCTGCTTCTAAATTACCTGGGGAAAATTGGGCCCAAAACTCCTTTGATGGCAGCTGCCACTTTTTCAGTTGGTTGGAATACTTTTGCTTGCTCAGAGTCATTGGAGAAACCACTGAACTGGCTGCTTTTTAATTACTATCTGACAACCTGCCTCCAGTCTTCAGTTAATAAGTAAGTCATCTTTAAAATTTTTTGTCTTGGGGCTGGGATTGTGGCTCAGCGGTAGAGTGCTTGCCTAGCACTGGCAGGACCCGTGTTCGATCCTCAGCACCACATAAAAATAAAGGCATTGTGTTGAGTCCATCTACACCTAAGAAATAAATATTAAAAAAAATTTTGTCTCCAAACTTTTATTTTATTTTTTTTCCTTTTTTTTATTGGTTGTTCAAAACATTACAAAGCTCTTGACATACCATATTTCATGCATTAGATTCAAGTGGGTTATGAACTCCCATTTTTACCCCAAATACAGATTGCAGAATCACATCGGTTACACATCCACATTTTTACATAATGCCATATTAGTAACTGTTGTATTCTGCTGCCTTTCCTATCCTCTACTATCCCCCCTCCCCTCCCCTCCCATCTTCTCTCTCTCTACCCCATCTACTGTAATTCATTTCTCTCCTTGTTTTTTTTCCCATTCCCCTCACAACCTCTTATATGTAATTTTGTATAACAATGAGGGTCTCCTTCCATTTCCATGCAATTTCCCTTTTCTCTCCCTTTCCCTGTCTCCAAACTTTTAGATCACATAACCCAACAGTAAAAACATTTAAGGCATAACACTGTCGATATATGTATATTTGTTTATATATGACTTTACTTTGTACCAAAATATGTTCTATGTTGTGAATGTATGCAAAAATAAAAAACTATAAGCATAAGCTAAACTTATAGATAAAAATCATAATGTTGGGGCTGGGGTTGTGGCTCAGTGGTAGAGCGCTTACCTTGCATGTGTGAGGCCCTGGATTCAATTCTCAGCACTGCATATAAATAAATAAATAAAATAAAATAAAATAAAGGTCTGCCAACAACTAAAAAAATATTTTTAAAAAAGTCATAATGTGGGCTGGGGATGTGGCTCAAGCAGTAACGCGCTCGCCTGGCATGCGAGAGGCGCTGGGTTGGATCCTCAACACCACATAAAAAAAATAAAATAAAGATGTTGTGTCTGCCGAAAAAACTGAAAAATAAATATTAAAAAATTCTCTCTCTCTCTTAAAAAAAAAAGTCATAATGTTTCTTTGAGGATCACTGCTCTAAATCACTGTGAAATTATTTCTAACAAACGTCTGGGTGTGGTAGAACACACTTGTAATTCCGGCAACTCTGGAGGCTGAGGCAGGAGGGAGGATTGCAAGTTCAAGGCAGCCTCAGCAAGTTAGCAAGACACGGTCTCAAAAAACAAAACAAAACAAAAGTATTGTGGATGCAGCTCAGTGGTAAAGTGCTCCTGGCTTCAATGTCCACTACCAAAAAAAAATTATTCTAAAGAACTAAAACATTTTGGAATATGTTAAAGCAAAATTATGATTATGGGCTATTCCCCTAGAATTTCTGTTTTTTGCTAATTTTGTCAGTACTTAATTCTTTCCCAGGTAGTAAGCACTTGGTACTTTCAGTGTTGAATAATACAACTCCTTAAGCATGTGCTTACAAGCATAGTATGTTTTAGAAATAAGAGAATGCAATTCTTGTGCATACTCTTAGCTTGCAGTTATTACACTAACAAAATACTGTCTTTGCTGCATTAACTTTTCTGGAATTCTTTGTGTATCTTCTAACAGTTAAATTGGCATCATAGGGGCTGGGGTTGTGGCTCAGTGGTAGAGTGCTCGCCTAGCATGCAGGAGGCACTGGGTTCGATTCTCAGCACCACATAAAAATAAAGACAATAAAGTCCATCAACAACTAAAAAAATATAAAAAAAAAAAAAAAATTGGCATGATAAAGAACATACAGGTGCCAGGTGTGCTGATGCACACCTGTGAACATAGTGGCTGGGGAGGCTGAGGAAGGAGGATTGAGAGTTCAAAGCCAGCCTCAGCAACTTAGCAAGGCCCTAAGCAACTCAGCAAGACCCTGTCTCAAATTAAATACAAAAAAGGGCTGGGGATGTGGCTCAGTAGTTAAGTGCCCCTGATTTCAATCCAGATATAAAAAAAAGAAGAAGAACCGGCAGCTGTTTCTGTTTATTCCTTTATGGTAGGTTGTTTTTTGGGGGGGATTGAATACAAGGGGTGCTCTACCACTGAGCTATGCCTCCAACCCCTGTACCCCCACTTTTTGAGACAAGGTCTTGCTAAATTGCTGAAGCTGGCCTTGAACTTGTAATTTTCCTGCCTCAGCCTCCCAAGTAGCTGGGATTATGGATGTTTGAGTCCATGCTCAGCTTGCATACTAATTTTTAAAAAATATTGGTCACTTTTCTTGTACAACCAATCTACAAGACCCTGCATTCAATTTCTAGAACCCCCAACCCTGCAAAAAAAATTACCTTCAGAACAAACATCAATATATTACTTTTACTGTATCTAATTAAACAAATGTTTTTTGAGTGCCAACTTTGTGCCCTGTTCTAGGCTATCTAGTTATTTGTTATTATGTATTTTAGATGTGATTGAGGTAGAAATGATCTTAATTATAGTTCTGAAATTCTTTTGTTCCAGGCACCGCCATATGTTTGTAAAACAAATTGATATGGATCATGTCATGAAGGTAGGAGATAAACTTTATGTAGTACTTTATTTACTCTTTTAACTACAAGAGAATATAAAATTTGTTTTTGTTTCTCAGGCTAAATCTATCAGAGAATTTGATAAGCGATTCACTTCTGTCATGTTTGGATACCGAACAATCGATGATTATTATACTGATGCCAGCCCAAATCGTAGATTGAATTCAGTAGGAATTCCAGTATTGTGCCTGAATTCTGTGGATGATGTTTTCTCACCAAGTCATGGTAAAATTAGCATTTTTGTATCTATTTTTTCATGAATTAACTTTTTAAATATTGTTCTGTTTTAAAAAAAAATGTAATAACCCCGGGCACAGTTGCACATACCTGTAATCCCAGTAACTAGGGAAGTTGAGATTGAACCCAGGGGTGCTTAGCCATTGAGCCACATCCCCAGCCCATTTTATTTTATTTTTTTATTTTGAGACAGTGTCTCACTAAGTTGCTTAGGTCCTCCTTAAGTTGCTGAGGCCAGCTTTGAATTTGTGATCCTCCTGCCTCAGCCTCCCCAGCTGCTGGAATTACAGGCATGCACCACTGCATCTGGAAGATGTTGAGCATTTTTTAATATATTTGTTGGCCACATGTGTTTCCTTTTTTGAGAAGTTTCTATCTAGTTCTTTGGCCTATTTATTAACTGGGTAATTTATTTTTCTTTTTTTGGCATGAAGTCTTTTGAGTTCTTGATATAGTTTGGATGTTAATCCTCTGTCAGAGGAGTGACTGGCAGAGATTTTTTTCCCAATCTGTAGGCTCTCTCTTCACTCTCTCAATCGCTTCATTTCATGGGAAGAAGATTTTTACTTTGGCTTCCCATTTATTGATTCTTGGTTTTATTTCTTGAGTTTCAGGGGTCTTGTTGACAGAGTCAGTGCCTATACCTGTATAGTGAGTGGAGTGTTGACCCTATGTTTTCTTCTAACAGTTACTGGTTTCTGGTCTAATTCCTAAGTCTTTTGGGGGGAGGGGTACTGGGTATTGATCTCAGGGACACTCACCACTGAGCCACTTCCCCAGCCCTATTTTGTATTTTATTTAGAGACAGGGTCTCACTGAGTTGCTTAGCGCCTTGCTTTTGCTGTGACTGGCTTTGAACTCGAGATCTCCTGCTTCAGTCTCCAGAGCCACTGGGATTACAGGCATGCGCCACCACACCTGGTCAGTTCCTAAATCTTTAATCCATTTTGATTTGACCTTCGTGCAGGGTGAAAATAGGGATCTAATTTCACTCTTCCGCATTTGGATATCCAGTTTTCCCAGCACCAAGATAGTCAGCTTTATCACCTTACTATAGAATTTCTAGAAGAATTGTGAAGATTGAATGAGAGAATGGTTTTTAGCAGTAATTATTAAGGTAGAAAACTAGAGTATACTATAATTCTACCCAACTGTCCTAAGTTAGCCATTACCATTATTATGTACTCATTTAGATATGTTTCCACACAAATAAGCTACCCATCCTCATGATTAATATTATTATTAAATGAAATGTTTGTATCCCATCTTTTCCCTATGACTGTAATCTACCTGAGGGAAGAGATTACAATTCATATATCTTTATAAACTTTATATCATATAGTTTCTGGCATGTAGCAGGTGGATAAACTATAACACATTCACATAAAGTAGCCCTTAAAAATACTGATTTATGAGACTATTTCATAATATTTAATTTTAAAAAATCAAATTCATATGCATATGAACCCATTTGTGTAAAAAAAAATACAAGTACACATACATATGGTTGTTTATAACAGGTTATGTTAGTTATAATGGATGAACATTTTTAAATATTGATTTTTTTAACCTAGAGGACAAATTATTTCCCCCCAGCTGTCTCTTCACACAATAACAAGCTCTGAGAAAGAAAGGTTATGTGTTAATTATTTTTGCATCCCAATTAGTATATTGCATAGAACAGTGTATTCAAAATTAGCTGAATAATAGTGGCTAAGTATGTAAATGTAACCTGTGAGCCAGCTATCCTATTTTGAAAACTTTATTGTAAGTATATCCTAGAATATTTTTCTAGTTTTTCTCTCATATTTCCATTGGTTATTTATTTATTTTATTTTGGGGTACCAGGGATTGAACCCAGGGGCATTTGACCACTGAGCCATATCCCCAGCCCTATTTCGTATTTTATTTAGAGACAGAGTCTCACTGAGTTGCTTAGGACCTCACTTTTGCTGAGGCTGGCTTTGAACTTGCCATCCTCCTGCCTCAGCCTCACGAGTCACTAAGATTACAGGCGTGGGCCACCGCTCCTGGCTCCATTGTTTATTGTCATTATCAAATATTTATCCATGTCTTCTCTATACAGAATATCATATTGGATACTAGGGGTCCAAATAGATACAATGTTTTCCCTTTTTTTTTTTTCTTTACTCTCCTACCTCTTTTCTCTTCCTTTCTTTATTCCTCCCCACCCCCAACTTTTTTAATACCTTGAACTTAGTAAATATAAGACACATACTTTATAGGACAATACTTAACTTTCACTATATGTAACATTCACTGTGAAATATACTCTATTTTCTAGCCCATCCTATACAAGTCTTGTCAATTATCTGTCCTATTTTCATTTACCAAATGAAAGTGAAAAAATGCAAAATTTTGTTAATTTTCAAATCTGGGGAATGGTTAAATAGGACCTATTACATTATTCTCTCTACTTTTTTACATGAAAAACATTACTTTAAAAAAAATTACTCTTGGGCTGGGGATGTGGCTCAAGCGGTAGTGCGCTCGTCTGGCATGAGTGCGGCCCGGGTTCGATCCTCAGCACCACATACCAACAAAGATGTTGTGTCTGCCGAAAACTAAAAAATAAATATTAAAAAAAAATTTTAAAAAAAATTACTCTAGGGCTGGGGCTATAGCTCAGTGGCAGGGTGCTTCCCTAGCATGTGTGAAGCACTGGGTTCTATCCTTAGTACCATCTAAAAATGAAACAAATAAAGGCATACTGTCCATCCATAACTACAAAAAATTACTCTAAAATTTATTGATTGATTGATTTTGGTACTGAGGAATGAACTCTACCACTGAGCTCCATCCCCAACTCTATTTTTTGTTTTGAGACAGGGTCTTGCTAAATTACCCAGGCTGGTCTCAAACTTTAAATCCTCTTGCCTTAGCCTCTTGTGACCCTGGAATTATAGACCTGCACCTCTGCACTTGTTTTAAAATATACTTTTGAGACCCACTAATGAGTTGCAGTTTGAAAAACACTGGAATTCAACTAAAAACAACAACAAAAACAAACACACACTGGAATTCTAGAAACTCCTAGAAGTTAATCACTATTGCCTATGGCAGTTGTCACATTTAGTCATAATAGCTTTTTTTTTTTTTTTTCCCTGTAGTGGGCGGTTAACCCAGAGATGTTATACCTCTCAACTACATCTCCATCTGTGTTTTGGTTTTTCAGTTTTTATTTTGAGCCAAGGCATTGCTAAATTGCCAGGGCTGGCCTCAAACTTTTGATCCTCCTGCCTCAGCCTCCCAAGTTGCTGGAATTACAAGCATGCACCACCATATCCAGCTTGTAATGTCAACCTTCATAGCAGATGCTAAGCTATCATGAAGACCAGAAACATGTCTTACTCTCCATTTATTCCCTAGGGCCAACATAATATTTGGTGCATATTAGGTTCTTAGTAAATGTTTGTTATTTTTAATAATATTGTACTTAATACTTAAAGATACTTGAAACTTGGGCCCTTAGGTAGAACCCTAGGTAGGACTTCAAGTTAGCAGTGCAGAAAGGAGGAGGGCATTTTTGCAGCCTCTCTCTGGAACAGGACATCTGTTAAAGCAGTCTGTTTTCCCTGCAGACTTCAGTATCAAAATGGTAATTTAAAAAATCTCACAGTTACTCTGAACCTAATATAGCACTGGTCACAAGGTAAGCACCCGGTTTTTTAGAACTTAATTTAGAGTTGATGAGGACAATTTGCAAGGTCAGGTGATAAAGAATACCTAGGAAATGTGCTATTTAAGCTCCAGTTCTCACTTAAAAGACAAGTATGTTGGCCCAATCCTTTTCTAAGAAAAAGCAAAAATACAGAATAAAAGCTAATGTTCCTTTTCTTACAATAGCATAGTGGTATCAGCATTGATAAATACTCAATGCAGTAAAAATTGTGGTATATAATTTGTTTTTATTATTTTGCTTTTAAGTTCTATTTTGAAGTAAAGAAAGTAATATTTCTGTATTCATGTGCCTTGTGCCGAAAACAAAACAATGTTTTCTGCTTTTGTCATGCATGTTATAAAGATGTAAATGCTCAATTGTGCTATTTGTCCCTGTTCCCAATATTGCACCTTGGAGATACTTTCTCTGGCTCTCTCCTTTAATCATCTAAATATAGAAATTACTTTGAAAACTGTTATACTAAAAAACAAAAAGTAAGGAAAGGGAAGCATTTGACAAGAACAATTTACCTCTCTGAGTATTTTATTTATTGATGGTACTGGGGAGTGAACCCAGTCGTCCTCTTCTGCTGAACTACATCTCAACCCTTTTTTTTCTTTTTTCCTTTGGTACTGGAGATTTAACTCAGGGGCATTTGACCACCGAGCCATATCCCCAGCGCTATTTTGTATTTTATATAGAGACAGGGTCTCACTGAGTTGCTTAGTGCCTCACTTTTGCTGAGGCTGGCTTTGAACTTACCTCCTGCCTCAGCCTCCCAAGCCTCTGGGATTACAGGCATGCGCCACTGTGCCCGGCTGCTTATTTTTATTTTTGCAAAACCCATGGGCACTCTACCACTGAAAGCTATATCTCCAGTCCTTTTAATTTTGAAACTGTCTGGCCAAGTTGTTGTCCATACTGGTCTCAAATTTGCAATCCTCCTGTCTCAGCCTCCCAAACCATTGAAATTAAAGGTATGCATCAGGGCTGGGGCTGAGGCTCAGTGGTAGAGCGCTCGCCTAGCATGTGTGAGGCCCTGGGTAGGATCCTCAGCACCACATACAAAAAATAAGTAAATAAAATAAAGGCATTGTGTCCAACTACACCTAAAAAATAAATATTAAAAAAAAAAGGCATGCACCACTGTACCTTGCCTAGGTATCTATCTTTTTTAAAGAAAGATCATCAATAAAATTAAAAAAGAAAAAGATACTTTAAAGTGAAATTTTTAAAGGAAAGAATCATATAGATCAAATAAGGAAGACTTCTTTTCACTGTCAGTTAAGATCATGGTATTAATTTATTAATTGATATTAATGTATTACTAGACAATTTGTATATTTGTGCCTTCTACAGAGTTATTCTACCCCAACCCACTGTGAGTTAAACACTGATACCCAAATCTCATAAGCAGTACAGTAATCATATCCTATAACTACTTTGTTGATCATATTATCAAGGAGTCAGTATTAGTTGGTTTATCAGTTGACACGCTAGCAGTATATTAACAGATCTGGATGATCACAGAAGGGTATTATTTTCTGTTTTTGACATGCTAGCAATTATTAACAGATTTGGATGATTACAGAAGGGTATTGTTACTGCTGTTGACCGGTGAACGAGTCCTTGCTTCCCCAGTGTTGAAGAATAACACCAAAGAAGCACCCCGAGGCAAGGTCAGAGTAGAAATTAGAAGTTTATTAAAGGACAGCAGAAAAGACTTCTCCTGGAGGAAGAAGGGGACCCAAGAGGTGGAATCCGTGGAAGTGCAGTTGTCTCTCCATTTTATAGTTTCTTTCAGTGATGGAATGTAGGTGGGAAGGCCCGAGGGGTGGGACACAGGTGGGCCAAAGAAGTAGTCTGAGCAGGAAGGACTTCATTAACACTTCTTTGGGATGGACTTTGGCCTAGGGCCTTTTCAGGACTTCATTAACATTCCATGAGTGGTCCTGCGTTTCCTGGAATCATTCTCAGCATGGCCTCCATTTTAGATTTCACTTGGTATTAGACCCGACTTACTTAACTACACTGACTACCTAACTTTAAATCTGGCTTCAGTATTATTCTCTGTTTTCAACTATCAACCTATCAGTTGGTATCCATAAAATTTCAATATTCCATTTATCTGCTTTACCTAAGGGCCAGACAAGCATTTCATATTTTTTCTCTATTTTTCCAAAGTCAAAGTGAGGTATGCATAGCACTTAACTTTCTGAACATCGGACGTAGTTTATTTCTCCTAACCCATACAAAAGTATTTCAATATGGCCAAAGAGACACTTTGAGAAACATGATTCAGAATGAGCTATCATATATATCTTCACATTTCTAATTTTGGACTCAGCAGAAAGACAAAAACTAGTCAACAAGCACCATTTGGCACTATTGATATGTACAGTGTAAAAATGCTATATTCTCCTGGCTCTCTATCATCATGGTTTTCATTAGCACTTACTGGAGAGAAAGAAATCACCACGGAATAAGTGGGTGGCAGACAGGTTCTCTGATTCATAAGCTCACAAATATATTTTTTAATTTTGGTATACTGCAAATCATGTTTTACTAAAATTGAACAGAGTATATGGAATGGATACATTTGCTGAACCAAAGGTAAACTATGAAATAAAAGGGAATTAGATTCCACCTGGAATGTTAGAACATTTTGCAGTTATCTATTTTGATCTGATCAGGAAGCATCTGACAAAAATAAAAGGCTGGCTTTTAGCCTCTCCAACTCCCAAAGCTCAAGTTAAAAGCCTTATAACGTGATGTTAAATAAATTTGTAATTTTCATTCATATTAAGCTTTTCTTTTTCCCACCATAGACTTTCCTCTCCATTTCCCCTTTACTCCAAGTTCAAATGTTTAACAACACCCAGTTTCTCCACAGGTAAAGACAACAATGCCATTCTGTTATATATGTGAACTTACAAGACCCTTCAGAATGGATCAGCTATTATGATTCTCAAGTTTCTGTCCCTATCTCTAGGTCTTCCAAAGAAAACTCAGAGTAGCTGAATATACCAGTATTAATTACTGTAATAATAGGAAGTTTCAAAGTTTAGAATCTGGGTTTAGCTGACTTACAGGTGAGACCTGGACAGAGCATGGTGGGACAAGCTTGTAATCTCAGTTATTCAAGAGGTTGAGGCAGAAGGATCAGAAGTTCAAGGTCAGCCTGGACAATTAGGGAGGCCCAGTCTTAAAAGAAAAGGAAAGGAAAAAGGGCTGGACTTAGCTCAGTGGTAAAGCACCCCAAGTGGTAAAGTCAATCTTCATTACTTCCCCGCAAAAAAGAAAGGATGATAGTTAAAACGGCCATTCACCAGCCATTTTAGGTGGAGCAGCTGTTTTGGAGCTAGGGGTCCCGTGGTTCTATAACTCCTAACTCTCCATCATGGCTAAATATGCATTTTAAAAAATCCATCAACATTGAAAAGTAATTACTAGATTCAATCTATTAGAATATCACACATTAGTCTTTCTCTGAACAATAAGGCTAAGGCAGGAGGATCACAAGTTTGAAGCCAACCTGGGTAATTTATTCTGTCCCAAAATAAATAGTGAAAAGGGCTAAGGATATGAGGTGCTCAGTACTAGAGCACCTCAGAGGGTTCAAGCCCAAGAACTGAAAAAAATATTATTACTATTACTATGATTAAGATTAATACTCTCTAAATTAATATTTATTAGACTTGCTTTCGTGGGTTCAGTTAAAAGGGATTTTTTTCGGGGGAGAGATTTATAATAATAGCTAATATCTATTGAACTCTCACTGTCCTGCTAAGGCTTAGAAAAAATCTGGGATCCTGGCACATGAAAGAAGATGCGAGGCACAGTTGGGATAGTGGCCAGGCTTTCTTCAGAGGCAGCAGCAAGGCCTCCTGACCCCCAAGTCTTCCCAAAGGCTTTTCTTTTTTTTTTTTTTTCTATTTCAAAAATAGCATTTTATGGGGGCTGAGGTTGTGGCTCAGAGGTAGAGTGCTTGCCTAGCATGCATGACGCACTGGGTTCGATCCTCAGCACCACATAAAAATAAAATAAAGGTATTGTGTCCACCTGCAACTAAAAAATAAATATTTTAAAAAATAGCATTTTATTTACAAAGGATAATACACATAGGCATTTGGTCTTCAATTTGATAAATTGACCTATTTTTAAAATAAAGACTCCATAAAATTCAGAGATGCACATTTTTAAATCTTTTTTTAAAAATATTTTTTCAGTTGTAGATGGATACAATATCTTTATTTATTTTTATGTGGTGCTGAAGATCAAACCTAGTGCCTCCATGTGCAAGGCAAACGCTCTACCACTGAACTACAGCTTCAGCCTCACATTTTTTGATCTTTAAGCAGTAAGTTGAAGTGTTTGTAAGGTTAGAGGAAATTCAGAGGCCTAACAGAAATAGGAGTAATTATTAAATTTACGTTCAAGATATATTTTAAACTATGTTT